CACAGGATTGTCCGTGGGCAGCCGCACTCTGGCTGAGACAAGGTACGATCTATGTCGGGTTATGTCCCCCTCCTCTGGTGGGACGTCTACCATGATGAATGCTCAGACGCTGACATCCTGGAGCTCCAGGGGGCCACCATGAAGTCAGGACTGCAGGACACACCCAATGGCGACAATAACACAGGACACAAGAACTGGTGCTCGGGTCGAAATGCCAAGCAGAGCGGCAGGAGGTCACTTAGCGGTGACTTGAGAAATACCTCCCCAACCCATTTCAGGCCTGAAGTGTGTGTGTGTGTGTGTGTGTGTGTGTGTGTGTGTGTGTGTGTGTGTGTGTAGGGACATGTGCAAACGTGTGTGAGTGCAGGTGGAGGCCAGAGGACAGCCTGAGGTGCCATTCACAGAGAGACCGTCTACTTCTGAGACAGGGTCACTTGTGGGCCTGAACTAGGCTAGACTGAGCACCCAGTGAGGCCCAGAGAGGCCCCTGCCTCTGCCGTCCCAGGGCTAAGGAAGGAAGGTGTCACCATGCCTGGTTTGTCTGTTTTGGTTTTGCATGGGTTCTGGGGAGACAACTCAGACCCCCACACTTGTATGGCAAGCACTTTACCAACTGACCCCCCTCCCCAGGCCCGTGGAGGTGGGGTTTCCAACACACCGCCTGGCCATGCCTTCTCAACGTGCTAAGAATGTTAGGACCCAAACAGCCGACAAGGTGGCCCTGGGCCTTTACCTGGAGCAGACACCCCACTGCCGTAGCCATGGGCAGCGATGACGAAGGGCTCATTCAGTGTGATCCAAAACTTCACCTTGTCCCCCAGCCTCCGGAAGAGCACATCTGCATACTCCTTAAACAGCTGCACAATTGTCTCGTTCTCCCAGCCCCCGATGTCCTGAAGGGCCTGGGGCAGGTCCCAGTGATACAAGGTCACCTGGGGGGAAGCCAGAGCAGTGTTCTGTCAACCGTTTCCTCAGCGACAGGAGACATGCACAGGCGCTGGCGTGGAGAGGCTCAGGGAGGTCTGGACTATCTCCAAGACAGGAAAGAAAACGCTCCCTTCTCTAACTCTGAACCATGTGAATATATGGACAGTTCAAAACCCAAGCTGAAAAGCCGTTTCGGTGCCGGGGTGGTGGCTCAGCCGGTGAAGGCGCTTGCCACCGAACCAGATCTAGGTTCAACCTCCAGGATCCGCATGGCGGAAGAGAGAGGTCCTCCTGGAAAGCTGTGTTCTGATTTACTTACACACACACACACACACACACACACACACACACACACACACACACACCTACGTTTTGGGGGTTGGCAATAGGACTCAGTCGATTGAGTACTTGCCTAGCATGCATGAAGCCCTGGGCTCCATCCCCAGCACCAAATGCATGGCATGATGGTGCACATAGACAGGGCAGAAGGTCAAGGACAGCCAAGGAGTCAAAGGCCTGCTGGGATATAGGAGACCCTGTCTCAAACATAAATCAGTAAGATCCTGTCTGAGAAATAAATAAATGGATTGGAGGGGCAGGCAGCACCTTAAAAATAGATTAGATGAATACAATAAAAAGCCAGCTTTTGTCTGTACACTAGATGGGTCCCCGCATGCCCCACTGCCTCGGGGGACCGCACCCTCCCTCACCTGTGGAGTGATGCCAGCAGCCAGCAGGGCGTCAATGAAGCGGACGTAGTAGCTGAGGCCCGCTTCATTGATGAACCGGGTGGTTCCGTCGGGGAGGACCCTGGACCAGGAGATGGAGAATCGGTAGTGGGACACGCCCAGGCTCTGGAGGGCCACCACGTCCTCAGCGATCTTGTGGTAACTGTCACAGGCCACATCTCCATTGTCGTTGTTCGCCACCCGCAGGGGCGTGTGGGAAAACGTGTCCCAAATGCTGAGTCCTTTGCCGTCTGCTCTCCACGCGCCTTCAACCTGGAGACAAGAGGAGGCAGCCTGAGTCGTGTGACCAGACGCAGGTCCTCTTCCGCACACCCTGCCGCCGCCGCCGGTTACTGAAGTTGCCTGAGCACCTAGCAGCATCGCCCTGCGCTCTGTGGCTGTACTGGCTGCCCACGCCACCGTGCAGAGCGGGCATCTCTCTGTCTCTCTTTCTGTCTCTCTGTCTCTGTACGTGAGAGAGAGACAGGGACAGGGAGAGACAGAGTTTCACGCAGCCGAGGCTGGCTTTGAACTCTCATGTAACAAAGGAACCAAGTGCTCTACCAACCGAGTCGCATCCCCAGTTCCAAGATGATGGATTTCATTTTAGTTTCCAATCAATGCTGGCAGTGGGGTCTGTCAGATGGTGGGTACTCACCAAAAGTCCTGAGCGAACAATTCCACGCCCCCTACCACCTCTAACTACAGCCAAGCAAACTGCAAGGGTACTGGTGTGGAAGACGTAGCTGTGGTCCAGACATGCTGGCTGTTTCTGCCTTCCTCCTTCTCCTCCTCCTCCTCCTCCTGCTCCTCCTCCTCCTGCTCCTCCTCCTCCTGCTCCCTAACTCCTTCCTGTCTGTGGTGTCCAGTGGGTAGACAGGCACCACAATTTACTTTAAAACATTCCAGCGAACATGCTGTCACACACAAGTACAGTGCCGCAGCTGAGACGATGTCGCATTTTAACCATGAATGCACATCCCGTCCTGGCTGGGAGAGGGGCAGAGTGGAGAGAGCCAGAAGGAGCATCGCCATAGGAACCACCCGCGCGCGCAGAGGGGGAGGAGGCTGGGACCAGAGGACCAGCTGAGGCGGTGAGAAGCCAGATTTATATACAGCGAGATTATTTATACAGAGACTTCTACTGGAGGAGGAGACACCAATACGGAGAGTGAAAGGACCAGCATTTCCCCACGGAGTCAGATTTGAACTGGATGTATGGATATGAACTCAAGGCTTTAAACACACCAAGTGTGGGACTGGGGGATGTGGCTAAGTTAGAAGAGGCCTTGCCTGGCCTGTATGAGGCCCTGGGCTCTATCTATTCCCAGCACTGCATACACTGGGGGTGTTGGTGCACGCCAGTAGTCCCAATACTTGGAAGGCAGAGGCAGGAGGATCAGGAGTTCAAGGTCATCCTTGGCTACAGAGTGAGTTTGAAGCCAGCCTGGTGTACATAAGACCCTGTTGTGTATATAACCAATAAACGCAAAGTGGGGTGTCTGGAAGAGTTAATTTACACCACTGTATGTGGGGGTACATCCATGTGTTTTTCAGTTCTGACTACTGAGAGGACCCACAAGTTGTGATACTCCAGGGGCAGTGAGGGTACCAGCATCCAGACAGTTTGCTGCTGTGAAAAACAGCTGGGCATCCTAGAGAAAGGGCTGCCTAACAACTGGAGAGGAAAGGGTACAGGTGAGCCCACTGTGCCAGAAGGGATTAAGGAAGCCGGGCTGGGGTGCGGCTTCACCAGTGGAGGCTTGGCCAGCATGCCCGGACCCATGGGCCATTCCATCCCAGCACCGCACCAACCAGGCCTAGCTCTGGGCACCCATAAGCCCGGCCTTTGAGGAGATGGAAGCAGCGCGTTCGAACGGTCAAGAACCCAAGAATTCTGGGGTGCTCAGCAAATTCAAGGCCAGCCTGACCTAGATGAGACCCTGTCCCAAAACAAAAACCACTGGATAAAGAGGAGGAGAAGAAGAAGAAGGAAAGAGAAAGAGAGAGGAGGAGGAAGAGAGGGAGGGAGTTCTTTAAAAAGAACATGCTGATCAGACCCAAGCTGAGAAATTCTGCTACAGAGGACTGATGTTGTTTGCCTGAAACACACAGGACGAAGCCTCTGGGGTCTTGACATTGGCCCCTACTGAGTGTAAGGTCGGCCAGAGCACCTAACAGGACAGGGACCTGGGGTTCCTTGAGCTGAACAGAGAATGAATGAACAGGTAGTTGATGTTTCCCTACTAAACGTCAGTCTGGTGGAACTGTGGCGGACTATCACATGGTGGCGTGGGCACTGGAGACCGGCCATCTCCAGCCGTAGACTATCTATAGCCGTAAGTATCTAGAGAAAGCCCAAGTAAACTAGTTCTTCTATGCATTGCCTAGGTCATGGTATTTATCACAGGAACAAAAAATAGAAGATAGGGACAGGGACCCTGTGAACTTCACATCAGACAAGTTGTCTATTGCTTTTTCTCTGTGGTACTGGAGATCAAACCCGGAGCTCCATGCCTGGCAAGGGTCAGCATGCCGGCGCTGAGCCACATCCCGTGCCCATTCACTGTTCTCTCTCAACTCCTGAGGAAAGGTAATAGTATCCTATGGTCTGTATTCATCTCCTTTGTCACGAACACAGGAGGCGTCCGATGTCCGAGCATCAGAAAAACCCAGACTGAGTTTGGAGCCCACTTAGGCCAGCTGCCTGTGCAGATGAGCTGGGCGAGAGGAGGCGGCCTCCAGGGAGATGATGGGCTCGCCGGCCTCTCCCTGGACGTTCTGTCTGTCATGGCTCTACCTGCCCCATCTGGCCCTTCAGATGCTCATCTCAGCCCTTGACAGGATCTACAGACACCTAGGAAACAATTGTCTGGCCAATCTACAAAGAAGTTTCTAGACTGAATTAACTAAAGGAGGAAAATCACCCTGGATGTGGGCAGTTACCGTTCAGTGGCTGGAGTCTCAGAGTGAATAAAACTGAGAGAGTGAGCTGAGCCCAAGCATCCATCCATCCTCTCTGCTTCCTGAGGATGGGATGTGACCCCTGCTGTCAGGACTTCCCCCCATCACAGTATCACGGTATCACGAGAGACGGCATCCTAAACTGTGAACCTGAATTTCAACCCTTTTCTCCTTCAGTTTCTTTGTCTGGTATTTTATCAGAGCAACAAGACAAGTAAGAAGCCAGCCCCCACCCAAACTGACCTTACTGAATTTGGCGGTGGGAGGTACTTGGTACACACACACACATACACACACACACACACACACACACACACACACACACACACACACACGTCTGCACAGGTCCTCTGGAGGCTCTGGCTTGTGTGCCCGCCTCCCCGGCACTGTGCAGAAGCTTGGAGCCCCACAGCAATGTAGGAGAGTGAGCCCAGGGCGTCAAACTCCTCACCTGATACGCAGCAGAAGCCGCACTCCAGATGAAGCCCTTGGGGAACTCCCCATACAGGAACTCGTCCTCCTTGGCCAGGGGCATGCCGTTGTTGGCGATGATGTCTGTATAGTTTCTGGCTGAGGCTCTTGCTGTTCGAGGTCTGTCCGCATGGTCAAAGTCAACATGATACAATCCAAACTTGACTGTGTAGCCCGACAGCCACTCAAAGTTGTCCATCAGGGACCAGGCAGAATACCCTCGAAGGTCCACGCCATCCAGCCTGTAGGCTAGGTTATGCCAAAGAGAGCAGAAGAAAGCGTTAGGCAATAGGCAGGAGCCCCGAGAAGGCCAGCCATGTGCGGGCACTGGCTTCCAGGCTATGTCCCTCAACCAGGGAAGTGTACAGTCACATGACTCCTGAGAGAGGACAGGCCACCTCCTCACTCTCACTTTTTGCTTCTTGTTTTGTTTTTGTGTCTGTAAGTTTTTGCACCCAACAGGCCTCTCTGCCGATGCAGCAATCCAAATTAGACCAAATCAAACCAAATCAGACCAAATCAAACCAAATGAGGAAAAGCCCAAGTTTAATGGTAAAAATGCTCCTGGATGATTTTCCTGGCCTCTCAGAGAGGAGATGGGGAAGAGAGACAAAAAAACATGTCTGCATTTGGGGGGTGCGGTTTAAATACCCTGTGGGAGTGGTCTTGAGCATCTCTGGGAGAGGAGCCATGTTTGGCGGGCTTTCTGAGATGAGGCAGAGTTTGGGAAGAGAGAGTTGGGGAGGGGGCTGAGGTGCAGCTTCCACCAGAACTGTGGTTTTTTTTCTTTCTTTCTTTCTTTCTTTCTTTCTTTCTTTCTTTCTTTCTTTCTTTCTTTCTTTCTTTCTTTC